TTGAAAATACTTCCGAACAAGTTTTTGCCAGGAGTCACGCTCCGATACTATGACTCGAAAATGACCCAGGTTCTTGTGGGTCTTGGCGGTGAAGAAAACAAAGAGGCTTGTACCTTTCCACGTCAACACCGACAGGGCCAATCTAGTGAGCCACGCTATTTCGCACAGCTTCTCATCTTCTCACTTTACTTTTGGCGGAGCTACTTTCGGCAGTTCCCTAAAGTTCCCTGATAAGGCTGCTACCACTTTTTCTTTATAAAGTGGTTAGGGAACGAGGACAAATCCTCCTTCCTTGTCGGACTGGAAAAGCTTGGTGTCCGCTTATTCAAGAGCAGACATGACATGCAGAAATTTCGAAGTTCTTTCTCTTATGGATTCCTTGGACATACACTCGACTCCCTGTTGAACGCACCTCTCGAATTCACCAGCTTTTGTTCTTCCCGAAGCCTGTCTGACGAGACTGACCAATTCAGTCTTGTCAAGGGTTGGATGGACGCAGTATTTTGGTCCGAGTTCCAGAAGGCACTCCACGTCATTTGGAATTATTTCGTTGCCAAGAACAACTACTTTGCCGAAATAGCTCCGGCAAAAGTAAAGCGAGAAGCTGAGAAGTGCGAAATAGCGGGGCTCGATAGATTGGCCTTGTCGGTGAGGACATGCAAAAATAAAAGCCTCTCTGTCTTCTTCACTGCAAGAGCCACAAGAAACTGTGTCCTTTTCGGGTCATCATATTGGAGCGTGACTTCTGGCAAAACTTGTTGGAAAGTATCTACAAATGGATATTACAGCCCAGACCATAGAATATCCGTTCATCATAACAAAACCTCAGAACGTGTCAGACTTTCTACGTGATAGGTGTCCCCCAAATGCCTGTGCATTTTCCGTGGAATTTAAGGACTTATTTTGTTCCCTACCCCAGGACATTCCGTGCGAGGAGGTGAAAGAGTGCATCCAGCGATATGGTGACGATCTTTTTGTAAACTTTGTTGAACTGACGTAGATAGCTTTCTTGAACTTCTGAACTTTCGTTTGCAGTCGAAGTTCGTCACGAGAAATGACAAATGGTACATTCAAAGACAGGGCGTGTGTATTGGTCCTTGTTAAGCTCCAGTCCTAAGTGACATTTTATTGGGTCGTTATGACAAACGCATACACGTGAGGCTTGCTGAGACAAATACCATTAAGGTATTCCGCTACGTTCGTGATTTTTAGTCTTTTATAGTGGAGAACAGTGTGACACAAGGCAGCACGCTAATCAGATTTTTAGCATTTTTACTGAGAACATGATCAATCGGCAGCTGACGACGGAGTTCCCTGACAATAACCAACTTAGATTTTTAGACCTGGAGCTTATGTTTCTGCCAGAACACGTTTGCTGGCAATGCTCTCCCCACTCCGAGAAGGCCCTGTTACCCTTCAGTTTAGCACACTCCTAGCTTGTTAAGCGAAGAATCGCCAAAGCATGTATGATGGCATCATTGTCAAGGTCTTGCCATCACCAGGTTTTGACCAGTTTTGCCAACCAAGTTAACAGACTTAGGAAAACACGCTTTGCTGATCACCTTCTATCGTGCATACCAGAATCACTTCTGAATGTATTTACAGGGCAAGATTGCACGGCAAGCATCTCAGGGTGAGCCAAAGCCGAAAATGTTTGCCATTCCTTATGTGCACAAAGTTTCCCTGTGCTCAAAAAGAATTGTGGAAAAGACTGGGTCAAGGTTTTCTTCACGGCAAAAAAAAAAATAGGCTGAGCTCTCTTTGTAAAAGAGCTAACAGTGAAGGTTCTTTAAGCGTTGGGTGCAATTAGAAGCACGTAAAGTTGTTGGTAGAATGTATTACAGGCGTTTTATATCTGATTTGTTTATCATGTGGTCGATGCTACATCGGTCAGACGGGGCGCTCTCTGAACGATTGCCTTAGGGAGCACGCAAATCTGATGTGCGGATCAGTGGGCAGCAACTTGGCAAGTCACTGTGCGAATTGTGGGTGCACCCTGAAGTTTGATGACTGCCAAGTAATGGCAAGATATAAGGACCGGAGGGCACGTCAAATATACGAGGCTTTTTTTATTCGTAAAGCAGGAACAGAGTGTGTAAGTGACCCTTCCGTCAATCTGTCAGATAATGAATACGAGTACCTTCACAGTTAGGTTGCCATTTCAAGGTTGGAATAAGGCGGTCTGGTGCATTCGCCATCATTTGTCCTTTCATCTGTGTATGATCTCCTCGCCCTCTTGAATGTACATATATTTCCGCCATCTGTGCAATAAAATTGGTTGTAAGTGTGCGCTCTGTCCTATCTCTCGGCTCTATCTTCCTTCTGAAAACGTTCTCTGCGCACTAAGAAAGTATATTTCTATAAAAAGTGGTTTCGCTCACGACATATCGCAAAACTGGTGCGGTATGAGATGATAAAGAGTGCAATGAGATGTCTGCATGGCGAACATAAGTGGCAGGCCCTCGCGTGGAACTCATGACATGCCTGTCATGTAAAGAACATGACTACACGTCATGCTCATGAGGCGCCCGCACACGCTTCACTTGTTTTACATACACCAAGCTTGGCATTACGTTACGTGAATGGATGATAAAGGTGACTGCTGTAAACATGATAATCATGACATTCGCGTTATGTAAGAACATGACTGCCTGCCACGCTTATGATGCGTTCGCGGTCGTTTCACTAGCTTCAAATGCACAAAGTTTCGCATTACGTAACGTCAATGAATGATATGATTGATTGATTGATTTGTGGGGTTTAACGTCCCAAAACCACTATTTGATTATGAGAGACGCCGTAGTGGAGGGCTCCGGAAATTTTGACCGCCTGGGGATCAATAAATGATAATGATGTATGACTGGTGACTGGTGCCAACATGATAATCATGACATGTATGTCATTAAAGAACATGACTCCATACCGCGCTCATAATGCGCTTGCAGCGGTTTCGCTAGCTTCACATATACCAAAATTATTGTAACGTGAGGGAATGACGAATGTGTTTAACTCTTGCAAACATGACAACGATAACATCAATGTCATATAAGAACATGACCACAAAACGCGTTCATGATGTTCTCGCGCTTCTTTCGCTGGCTTCAGATACCCGTAATGTTGTTTACGGGACGTGAATGAATGACGAAGATGCAACATGATACTCATGACATGCATGTCATTAAAGAACATGACTATATACCAGGAACATAAAGCGCCCGCAGTGCTTTCGCTAGCTTCACATGTACAAAAATTGGTATTACGCGAGTGAATGACGAAGGTATTTAACTCTTGCAAACATAACTATGACATCAATGTCATGTAAGAACATGACCACATACCACACTCATGGTGCGCTCGCGGCCATTTAGCTAGCTTAACATATACTAAATTTGGTATGACGTGAGGTGAATGGAAGACTAACGTAAATGAGACGTCCTAAGATGATAATCATGTTAGGCGTGTAATGTTAAACATGACTGCTCGGCGCGCTCGTGCCGAGCATGGCGGCGAGCGCACTATGGGTGTACTCACGGCCATTTTGATAGTTTCACATATACCACACACTCATATACACACTTCACATATACAAAAACGCCCGGTGCAAACATAATAATCATGACATGGAAGTCATGTGCAGTGTAATGTATGCCCACTTCGTACTGTTGTTCTGATTTTAAAGTGACATATCAACCTTCTCATTCATGCTTCGCATATCATCGATTCCCACAGGACGTGGAATCTGTCATTTGTTTTTCCTTTAAAACCACTCCGCTGACAAGTCAATGCGTTGCAGTTCCCATAGACACTAAACCAGAGTTCCCTCTACTGTATTATCAGCAAGCTGTAATAGTAGCCCGCAGTGGCACTGGGTTTTGCAAAAGGATCGTAAGTTGCAGGCGGGTGCGGGCAATTACGTGCAACCCATTTCGCTCAAACGCCGCAGATAGAGCGTAGTGCGACTGCCTCGCTAACTATGACGCAGCGGAAGGCAGCACGTGGGTGCTTTCCACAACAGCCTAGCTACAACGGCGTGCGCTACTATGGCGCTGCGAGAACCTGTCTTCCCTCCCACGGTGAAATATATATAGGGCGTAGAAAGTGTTTTCTGCCTTTAGGTTGCGTCTTGCCACTGATAGATGTCCGCTGCCGCCACCGGGTCACCGAGCGTGTGCCGTACTTTAGCTCGTCAAACACGTGTTGCATAGAGTTCTAGAAGTGTCGCCACGTGAAGCGCATGTATGGATGAATGTAGAACCATCCTGCATAGGTAAACCAGCGCTCACTGCTTCCTGTACCATGGATTAGCACTTTGCATGGGACCCACTGTATTTGTTTTTATCTATACCGGAATTTAGAGCGGAATGCAGAACTCAAAGACAGTTTTTACCTCGGGATCTGTTCCACAGAGGTGAGCAAGTAGAAGCTAGATAAGCGCACACCCCCATAGTAGATGTGGTGATTATACCCGGCTATTTAAGCGTCAGCACTGTTGAGAAACGTAAGCGCACAGCTGCTGCAACTTACGTATTTGTTTAGCTATGGTGTGTTAAATATTACTCTTTAGTAAAACGCTTTTGTCGAGTCTGCAGCATGCAAGTATTTGGGCAGCACTGCGTAATATGCGACTGCGTCGATGCCAATAACCACCGACTCTTTGGCCGCCATTTGAATAGCAAGCTTCTTTTCAGATGCTGTTGCATTGAAATGCTGTGATTTTGCTGCATGGTAGTGCAGATTGCAGTTTTCAGTAAAGCAGAAAGACGCTACATTAAGACCATTGCGAAATATTGGCATGACACTGGCTGTGGTCGCCTTATGGTATTCGCTGATTCAGTGGGTGATGCGGACGGACTTGTGAAAAAGTTTGCCGCTTCTGTGTGGTTAGCGTAAACGCCGCCTAAATTGACACAACTTGATGAATTTGGCGTCTTGTGAGGGACATTTCTGCAACTTAATCATTTGCATTGTCTTCAAGCATGGCATGATGGATCATGACGCAGGTGGTGAAAGAGACAGCTGACATTCTGGAGACATTCGGCTTCATGCTCGAACAGCGAGGCCTGGTGTCAGTAAAGGGAAAAGGCATGCTCATGACTTTCTATCTTTTGGACAAGAAACCACCTGCCCAGCAGCTCAGTGCGTTGACCACACACGTGCACACTAACCCACTTGCGCAACAAGATGATGACGCAGGCGTCAACACCGCAGACACGATTGCGTTGCCACAGGTGAGAGTTGTTGCAGTGAGGTGTGAATAATTGCTGTGCAAAGACAAGATGTCAAGGTGTCATGTGTGTTTTCGTAAACACTGGGTGAATTATGGCTTTGCAGGAGGCTGAAACAGCGACACCTTCTGCAGACGTGACTACAAGTAGCAGTCAGGAGGGGGTCAGCATGGTTGCAGAGCAAACTCTGCAGCACCAGCAGCACTTGCCCAATGGTGCAGGCCCCACAGCTGCGGCGACAGCGGCGAGCCCAAGCTGAGAGACACCTCCCACAAGGTTTGTGCAATACCACAGAGCTGTGGCACGAGAATTCAGTGATTTTTTTATCCTATGATGTACCTTCAAGCCCTTAAATATACGTAGAAGGTAACAAAATTTCCCTTTTTCAGATGAACAAAAACAATTGTTACTGAGAGAAATACTCGTCAAAACCATAGCAAAACCTTTATTTAAAACTGCTGCTGGCGAACACGCTACAGGTAGGCGGGGCATAATATAAAAGGAGAAAAACAGCTTACTTCGCAGAACAGTGCAAACCATGACTATTCAACGAGAATGTGGTATTACACTAATTTATTTAAAATACGTCATGCATAACATCGCCTACGGACACCGCCTCTCTATAACAAAAAAGTAGCAAAAAGAAACAGCACTAGGATGCAACTGATGTGCTCTTCATGTCAAACCTCAACTTGGTGGTCTGCAAACCTAGTGTAAATCGAGACCTTGATGTTTCCAGTAGATGGATCCTTCAAGAGACGGGAAATTGTTCAACGCAGGCTGCCTCTGGAACAGCTGCTTCGACACGGGTATTTATCGGCGAGCCCTGTCGAAGGCAAGTGCTCGTGTTGAAGCAGTTGTTATAGAGGCAGTCCCCAGGGTGGCCCGCGGAATACGCTTTATGTACTGCTGACGACTCAGCAGGAAAAATCTATATAGGATAACTTTTCTTCTTTCTTTTTCTGTGTGGTTTTGAAATCGCGCCCCTCAAATTTACTTACTTGTTTATCTCTATTTATTAAAATTATCTTACAGGACCAAAAGAATGAGTAAGAAAACCTATAGCGAAAAGGCAACAAACTTATAAGGAACAGCCCATAACGCCCCACCGCAGTGGTCTAGTGGCTAAGGTAATCGGCTGCTGACCCGTAGGTTGCGGGATCAAATCCCGGCTGCGGCGGCTGCATTTCCGATGGAGGCAGAAATGTTGTAGGCCCGTGGGCTCAGATTTAGGTGTAAGTACAGAACCTCGGATGGTATAGAAATTTCCGGAGCCCTCCACTACGGCGTCTCTCATAATCATATGGTCGTTTTTGAACGTTAAACCCCACATATCAATCAACAAGTACATAACACATGAAAATATTAGAAAACAAAAAGTGTAGAGTAAAACGAAATTAAAAATGCGCTGCATTATTAAAATTTAGCAGCGTTTTCATGAAAAAGAAAAAAAAGGCGCCTGCATTTTTTTACGCAGGGAATTCGAGTAAATGCGTCACAGAGTGGTGGGGGTATCTCGTGAATGTTGCGTGATTCGGTATGGTTTGGTACTCACTGGGTAGCGTTCATCCCGGGTAGTGTACGGGTCGAGGTGGTAACGGTAACCATATAGTAAGTCACTTCGAAAAGTTAATTTGAACGCGAAAACTTGACACGATCCCTCACACACGCACACACCCATGCATCAAACACACAGCGCTCGATGTATAGTGTGTGCACTCACAGACGATGCATGGGTGTGTGCGTGTGTGAGTGATCGTGTCAAGTTTTCGCGCTCGAATTAACTTTTCGAAATGCTCTACCAACTAGCCCAACAACAAGTTCTCTTAGAATATAAGTCACGCTCATCGACGGTACGTACCCGCGTACCAACGAGTACTTACACGATGCACACACCAAGTACGACTTGAACGGCTCCAGCAGTGTCTCACCGTCATGGTTGTCGCTGTTAACATTGTCGTTGACGCCACCGCCCTTCAAGTCGTCGTTCCCAAACGTGCTCCAAATAACCAGTTGCGCATTGGTCTGCTTCGCTTTGTTCTTGATTCTCCCGACCAGCGTAGGGTCGTTCACGAAGCGCAGTCGGTCGCACACCTTACAGCTGTGTTCAAAGCTGTGGTATTTGAATTCACGTTTGAAACGAACGGCCGGCGGCGCAAACTGCTTGGCTCGCTCTGCCCCTTTCGCAGCACGCTCGCGTTCACGAAAACTTTCCATCTCTTGGCATCTGTGGCTTCCATCGCATCTAGTCGAGTCTAGCAAAGCGTGAAGTCAAGCGAAAGAGGGCGAGGGAGAGGGGATAAAAGGGTAGAAAGGGAGGAAGAGGACAGACGAGCCGAGATTGCGCAGTAGGGGGGGGGGGTGGACTCGGACGACGAGTGACATGGTGCGACTAAGAAATGTTCTGCATTAAAAAAAAAAACGCCAGGCGTGCGCGGACAGCACACCACAGTCAAAGCGAAAGCTGGAAGAGTGCCATTTCTAGGTCTCATCTGAACTTTGTTAGGGCTGCTATTACAAGTACGCTTGTGAGATACCCACTACGGCGTAAATCATACTTTTTGCCAACTCGACAAGCATCCACTACGCTATTATTTTCATCCTGCAGAGAAAAGAGGCACCCGCTACACATATGCAATGCATTATGTGAGTTTTGAAGCGGTGGCTCGGTGATTCATTTATTGAAATATCATTATTGGGGTGCCTATCAATAAATACAGCTTATACGTTTTTGATGTATTGGAAGCTTGAAACGATCCACTAGTTACGTAATTTTCATTGTGTGACGCGAGGTCATTATTTTACTCTCCTACAGCGCTACACTACATACGTTAAAATGAACTTTATTGGGGCACAGAGGAAACATATAGGGACTTTTGTGCTTCTTCAGGAACTAAAGCAGGCACACTTGCCAACTACCCACTATGTTCTAAGTCATCATACTTCCTCTAAAGTAGGGAAGAATCCAGTATGCCAATAGACGTAATTCTTCAGAAAAGTAGTACCTGCTTCACACCTGGAAGGCATTATGTGAAAATGGTTCGGGATGAAACTGATGACGATGCAAAGTTATCGCTGAGCCTTTTACGATGAGTTCGAAACATTTCACGACCCACTCGTTATACTATTTACATTGTTTCAGCCTGGTTGTTATTAGGAACTTGCTCCTTAAGCTCGAGCAGTGACCATTCATCCCGCCGTCGTAGCCACGCTCTCTCTTGAGCAACTGACAGGGTAAAAATGGAACGCGATGCACGCGATTCTCTTCTTGCAGGAGAGAGCACGCTGGGCAAGTGACGCGAGCTCCGATGCGAGATAGAACCGACGTGACCGACGTCGGCTGGTGCGCTCGTAGTTGAGACAGCTCTAATAAGGGCGCATTCACACTTATTCTTCCGGCCGCCAAAAGTGCGCCGAATCCGATTCGGTGGCGGCGAGGACCCCCGAAAAGACCCGCTCCGCGCCGATCGCTCTCGGACCAATTTTGCGGCATCTGCCGCTGAATCGGTCGCCACGGACCAATATATAGGAGCGCTAGTCAACGAATTTTGAAAACTGGCGGCAAGACCTACTCACTTGTCATGTCGCAGTGCACGTAAATGGAAGTTTAACTGGGAGGTCCAGAGAGTGGGAGTTTAACCCACTTCACGTGCCTAGTTCACGTCCCTATATCGCGAAAGAGGTAATCGAGCTTGTCGTTTGCGTGACCGAGCTTGTTGCGGTTTTCAGAGCAAGACTAACCGATCTACACCGCTGGCGTCGGCGGTTTTTTCTGCTCTTCATGCATTACTAGACAGCGACTTGCCAGAAAAGTGACCAGTATTGCTTCTTTTTGCTTCCCCCTAGTTCACACTCAAGCATCCGCTTTTTACAGCGGCCGGAATTCCCCTGCCGCCGAAACGCAGCGTAGTCCGCACTGGATGCGCCCCACACCGCCGAATATGCCTTCTACCACGAGGCCAATGCGGGATGGATGCGCTGTCACCCGGTTGTAATTGTGGCTGGCAAACGCTGCTACGGTGGTCTAGACTTCGATTATTCTTGTGCGCTAGAAGCAAGAAGGAGCAGAAGAAACCGCTGACGCCAGCGCCGTTCGCAGGTTCGTCTTGCTCTGCAAGAACACGACAAGCTCGGTCACGCCAACGACACGGAGAAGTTTACTGAGCTCCTGAGGCTCTAGCCAGGAAGGACACCGAGGAGCCCTCGCTTCTCTGCAGTTCGCATTTCGGAACCGGCAGGCCATGTCCCTCGGCTCTTTAAATACCAGTTTTGAGGCGTCAGTATGGAACTCTGGGCATGAGTATTTTGCTGCATTTCTAGTAGGTGTGTATTAATAGTTGTATAGAGTGTGTGCGAGCTCGGTAACCTCTACAAAAGATTTGTTGCAGTATATGAGCTGTCGCTGTTAAGGCGGGATATGTGCATCAGGAGCAGCCATTAGGTGCTCAAGAAGTGGCATGCTCGTTTCTCCAGCTAGACTCCTCGAACGAAGCGCGTAGGGTTGTCTCATGGCAGGGTGGTTGTCAAGTAGGATTGAACTGGACAAATCATTCATAGTCAATGATACGAGAGGTTCTTTGTTAAATGTTGTGAGGGAATAGCGCGAGTGAGGTGCTTTTCAAAGGTGGCCTGGCAAGATGACGAAGACGGGTTACTGGCAACATGTTACCTGCGCGAGCACCCCACACCGAAGAAAAAAAGAAAACCCAAGAAAAATGCAGATATAATACAGAGCCAAGGCATCGAAGAGAAAAGAAGGGGAAGAGGAACATGGCTAAGGTGTGGCGTGGGAGCTCGTCAGGTGCGAGTACCTGGGCGTCAAGGCAGCCACCTGAGCGTGACTGCTTTCACGGGGTCCTGGTGACCACTCAAACTCCGAGGCTGTTGGCGAGTTTCTGGCACGGTCTACTTCTGATGTTCGAGCAGGAGACAGCGCCGCAGATGACGTCGTCTACCGGGAGAGGGAGCGAGACGTCGGGTAACGGGCTCGAGCTTGTGAACTTCCACCACGGCCACGACCACGACGACCAATCAACAACAAGTAAACTGACAAGCACAAGAAGACAGAATATCGATGCAGTTCTCGTTAACGAGCGGAAGCCTCTACGAGTCTAATCGGTCTTTAGAGTGCAGCCGTTAAAGTTCTTGTGTTGGAGTCCGGACGCGTAAAGAGACAGATACAACTCACCAGCTGTTCATGCGCATCAGCAGTGCAGCGAGGGTGCCGCTGTGGTGGGAGTGCACAAGCTCGGGCCCGTAGCCCGACGACTCGCTTC